TTGACATCATATTAACATTAAAACAGCATAATTGCATATTAGGAGTTTTGTTTGTTTTTCCGTATATTTTCTTCATATATATATATATATATATATATATATATATATATATATATATATATATATAATGTTTGTAATTTATTCAATCATATATATATATATATATATATATATATGATGACTCTCCGTTCGTTTTCGACGTATGAGTGTCTTTCAGTTTTTATGTTTATGTCTCGTATGAGACAACAATCCTGCACGGGATTTGCAAACAAATCCACACGAATAGCATACTGATAGGTTGACTATCATATGTGCTGATGTATTAGCCCGAGTGTTAATTCTTAATTCTCTCAGATGGTTGAGACGATTCTTTTCCAAGTTAGCAGGTATTTCTCCAATTCGCTCGCTTTTCAACAGCAACTTCGAATTCCTCTATAGAGCTGTTTGCAGCAATTAAATTTTGTTTAAGTTTATCATTGAAGCCTAACCAAGGGCGGCCTAGGTTACGCTTACCATGAAGGAAGTATACATAAGGTTTTTTGGCATCCGATCATCACTCATTCTGATGACATGACCAGCTCATTTGAACTGTGATTGTATCAGAAAGGATTCAACACCACCGATATGAAAGAAATTCAGATTACTAACACAGAAAATGTCTCATATCGAGAATATTTAGCATTGAAAATCAAAAGAAAAAATGAATTATTTTTAATAATATGTGGAAATCTCCGATTTTACCTGAAAACGGTCACGAGTCCAGAAACACGTGTAGTACAATTATGTAAAACAAAGCATAATATTTTTTTCTAAATAAATCCACATTACAACCAAAAACGTCTGCGGCACCTCTCTTCTCTTCTTTTTAATATACATACTTTTCTCTGGAACCACTACATTATATTTCTTTTATATATATATATATATATATATATATATATATATATATATATATATATATATATATATATATATTATTTTAATACCTATACTCAGGCGGTGTGAAGAACCCAGATAATACAATTTGTACCCAAAAAGAAAAAAAAAAGTAAACAAAAAACACCGACAGATTAACTAAGTAGAGGAAAAACTGAAAAAACTTAATGAGCCTGAACCTACCTACCTAGGTTTAACCTCACGTATCATAGATGTAGCCACATTTATCCTGATCATCATTTAGGTGAAACCTAGGTAGGTAGGTTCTGGCTCATTAGGGTTATATATATATATATATATATATATATATATATATATATATATATATATATATATATATATATATATATATATATTAGTATTTATTTCGGCAGCAAGAATTCTCTCAAGAATCTTTTGTTAAATAGCATGGACAGGTTCTATAAATTTTTTTTTACGAAATCTTTTTAAATTTCCGAATAAATTCTTTTGCGTTATCGGTAAATTTGAAAAAAAATTATATTAACTTTTATTTTATATTCTATTTTTCTCTGAGTACTTTCGAATGTTGCTACATTCAAAGATTGTTCTGTGTGATAACGTCATGAGAACTTGACAAAGTTGGAATTAAAAAAGAGTTGCGTAAATAAACACAGAACAATCCTTAAAAACGAATGTAGTAACATTCGAAAGTACTCGGGAAAAATAATATAAAACTAAAGTTAATATGAATTTTGTGAGCAAATTTACCGATAACACAAATCTACTTATTTGGAAATTTGTAACATTTAATGAAAAAATTGATAGATAGAACTTGTTGATATATATATATATATATATATATATATATATATATATATATATATATATGTGTGTGTGTGTGTGTGTGTGTGTGTGTGTGTGTGTGTGTGTGTATGTATGTGTGTACTCGTGTATGCGTCTGATCCCTGTTATCCCAGATAACAAAAAAATTATTTTTTACTGGCAACGAATTTTTTAACAAAAAAGCGGTACGTCTACGAAACAATTTTTACTGCCGCACACAGATTTCTCTGTTTGGCGGACATTTTGAACAAAGAAAGAGAGGAAGATAGTGTGTGTGTGTGTGTGTGTGTGTGTGTGTGTGTGTGTGTGTGTGTGTGTGTGTGTGTGTGTGTGTGTGAGAGAGAGAGAGAACAAGAAAGAAAGAAAGAAAGAAAGAAAGAAAGAAAGAAAGAAAGAAAGAAAGAAAGAAAGAAAGAAAAAAAAAGAAAAAAGAAAGGAATAAAGAAAGATTTAGGGAGAGATAAAGAAAGAGAAAGAGAGAAAAGAAAGAAAGAGAAAAATAGAGAGAGAAAACGAGAGCCAGGGTGAAATCGAGATATAAAGAAAGAAAGAGAGCAAGAAAGATAGAGAGAGAGAGAGAGAGAGAGAGAGAAACAAAGAAGCAGAAAGAGTGAGAGAAAGAAAGAGAGAGAGGAAATTTTGGGCGGAGAAAATATACTAAAGAAAAAAACAATAGAAAGTTAACGGAACCTGCAAGTTCCAAGTAGGAAGAAAAACCAAGTCCAAGTGCAGGAAGTGGATTCAAATGACCGGCGGTCATCGGCAGTAAATTTCTTTTTTTGACCTCACACAAGAATAGTAAGCAGAAGCAACAATTGTACAAGTTCAGCTACACGTGTCTACATGTATTTTTAAGTTCGTGCGTATGTGCGGCTATATGTGAAGCCCTCAACCCTAAGATAAAACAAAAGGGAAAAAGAGAGTACATTCTCGCATCTTATCTCAAATGATGAGTCTGAACACAGACAAAATGGTGTGAACTCTTTTTCTGACCTCTTGTCTGACAGCACCGAACTGACATGATATCAACCTTCAAGAAAATTGTTGCTATTTACGGCACGCCTCATCTCTCATGTATGCACACACCTATCTACATGCAATATCCTTAAAAAAGAGGCAGATCAGACCCCAAATACGCTATTGCTACCATATCTGGTTTCAGGGCTGGCGTTTACTACCTCGAAGCCCCCAGCTGGGGGGCCTGATTGGGGGCCCTGGGCAAGTGATTTGTGACCATCTTATTAACATTTGCTTTTTAGTACATACGTTACAAATAAACTAAACTCAACTATTAAAGCTTGAAAATTTTTCGCGGATTTTGACGTCATTTTTTTCTCGTCCAAATCTTTGAATTTGTTTTGCTCATGTGATCCTCAAAAAAAAAACAAAAAAAAAAGACAAAAAAAAAGCATTATATAAAATTCACTATTTTTCATCGATAATGTTGAATGTGTTAAATTATTCAATATTTTGATAAGAAAAATCTCAAGCTGATGTTAAAAATTGCTACAAAACATTGTTGATTTAAAATGGAATGATCTATTATGACAGGTCTCTAATTTGTATTTAGATAAATTGTATTTATTTTTAATTTTTCTAGTTGAATTGTTCGCCTACACTGTATATGATGCGTATTGTGCATAATTGGATTACAATAACATCTGCATTTTATATAAATACTACCTTATGAAAATTGCGATGTAGTAGAGGGGGGGCTCTGTATCATAGATTTGGGGTGGGGAGGTCATGAGGCCCTTACATCGACCATAACAGGGCTCTAGAACAGGTAGAAATGGACCCTGGAACGAATCTGCGAGCAGCGACAGAGTTTTAGAGAAAATGGAAACAAAAAGGAAACATACTTAACATCAGGAAGAGACAATTGAAATTTCTAAGGCGTCTAATGAGGAAAGAATCCTTGGAAAATCTGATACTCACAGGACAAATTGAAGGCAAGACGGACAGAGAAAAAGAACGCATAACACACTTAGTGATTTTAAGTAAATGGATGGCGGAACAAGGTTTACAAAAGACTGGAAATTGTGGAGAGCCATAATCGCCTACATCCTAAAGGGACACAGCACATATAACAAGAATCATCATGGCTAATGCTAAACTCTACGCCTAAGTTTTCCACTTATATGAGGTGGAGCCAGGGCCGGATTAAAAGCCATACGGGCCCGAAGCATTTAAAAGATTTTAGTGACCCCCCCCCTATACATCTTCGAGTTAAGCATGCTAGCATGGAGTCTCGGTGAGTAGTGAAAACAAAGGATATTAACGTGCATTGCAGAAACGCTAGCTGGAAATAAATATATAAGGAACTGAAGACGCATAGGACTATCGAGAGAGGCTGATCATCAGTTCCAACCCAGAACAACATTAACCAAGAAAGAACTAATCACAGATGAGCAGCCACTGTCACGTGAGCCACACCCAGATTCTAACAGAACTGTGACCAGAAGTGGTCGTATCGTCAACAAACCAGAGTGTTACAAAACCGCAAAAACATGGCTAGAATAATGCCAAACGAACAAGTTATTCTCTCCATCTGCTTCACAGTCTTTATGTACACTATTTACATTGTTCGGACTATCATCCTCATTTTTGTTGCCATATTTATTCTTCGGCTGTTTTATTTTCCGGCCTTCTTCAGGTGGTTGGAATGTCGAACTGAACACTTTATTTCGCTCGCTGGGGTAGACTGTTCTAGTTCTATGTGCCATGCCTAATGGATGTCCGTTATAAGTTATCTCCCGTTAATTCCCTTCTCTAAGTTCTTAGGTATTGAACTCACACTCTTTGGGTCCTGTCACTAGATCTAACTTTACGCCTTTATCCACTGTGCCATGTGTCCTTGAGGACATCTGTGTATGAATTTCTGGGTATTATAAACCTTATGTCTTCAGTAACCATTTTTTTACCAGTGATCATATTGCAATTTTCGTTGTTATTATTGCTTTTCTCTGGCACATAATACCTCATCTCAGAAATATAGACAGATAGTGAAACCTCATTATCTCACTTAGCTCTTATTAAACAATCAAAATGTCAATAAAGTTTTGTTACTGGTCAGTTGTCTCCCCTTTCATAATGGCGCCCTTTGATTTAAATGTTAATCGTGTTTGACTTATTTCTTTAGACGTGTACGACAACATATCATTACTATTTCTGTGGTACCCCCTTCCCTTGATGCCCTAAGCACGTGCTTATTTTTCTTAATGCTTAATCCAGCCCGAGGTGGAGCGATTATATCGAATCAATTTCTACGTCTAATGCAAGCAAAGTTGGTTCACAGTGCCGTGCCAGAAACATTTTTTTCATTCGACATAATCCACCTTGGACATTTCTAAATCTATCATTCATCCGTACATTGAATATTGCTACGATATGGAATCTGGTCCTCCTGCTATATATTCGTGATTCTTGACAAAATTCAAAGAAAGGGTTTGCAATGTCATCGATCCTGAACTGGCATCTCAGCTTCAATAATTTTCTCAACGATGTGACGTGGCTTCCCTCTGATTTTACTATAAATATTTTCATGGCAACTGTTCTGATGAAATTTTTTTTTAAGGGGGTTCGACTACATGAATTTAAACGTACTACTAGATTGGCAATTAGGTCTCTTCGTTTTACTGTTTAATTCGCTAGTTGCAACCGCTACTTCTACTCTAACAGCTTATTTTCTCTCACTTCCCACCTGTGGAACTCTCTTCCAATTTCTTGCATCCCTGTCACTTAAAATCTTCAACAATTTAAGTTCACTTGCCATCTGTTGTCCTTCTGAATCTTGTTCTTTTATTGTCCTTTCTCATCCATCGCCACTAAAGTACTCTTATCCTCTTTCATAACTACCTGCGTCTTAGCGACATTATCGCCTTGCTTGTGGTGCATCGAATGTAAGGAGGAAGTTTCACTTGCACAGTTTTTTTTTTCTCCCAAGAATTGCTTCTTTGTAGAACAGATTCCAGCATAAATGCTTTTTTGAAGACTCTTAACCTCTACAAATCAAAGGTCATTGGTTATCTATCCTCCTTATCCTCATAATTTTCACTTCCTACCGCCTTTCATTCGTAACACACACTTAATTTATTGTAATCCTTTTAATAGTGATTCTCTATATTGAGAGGATCTCGGGTCTAACATTGGGTGAACTTAAAACTAAAATATATAGTTTTGTGAGAAAAACTAAATATAAACAGAAAATAAGAATTAATCCTTGCCAGAAGAGGCCGTCGAAGAATTCAAAGAAACCATAAATTGAAACAACGGAGAAAAAATCGATGATAATTTCCAAGAAGCTTTCCACGTGACCGACGCTTGATAAAGAAAATATGGCGAGAATGATCTTTTTCAGTGAACACATGAAAAAGAATATAGTCAAAATGTATCAAGTTGCTTACTCAGCTGGAACAAAAAAGTGATTTAGATATAAAAAAAAATAAGAAATAAGAATAAATTTATTCGATTTCTTAATAAAATGAAAAAAACTATCCCCCCTTTTTTAATATATTTATCCGAACAAAGCCAAAACTTGAAAAGGCATATATACATCGATTTTGCAACTTTCTGCCGATATATGTTTTTTCTTGTAGTAAGTGTCAATACTTTCGAAAGGTAGCGGGCGATTGTTTTTAACATAAATTTTAAATATTCACATTGCTCTAAAATAGTTTTTTTGTTTTTATTTAGTGCCAAAGAAATAAATGAGGATGATGCAAATATTTCCAACGTCATATTTTATACAACGTTAGAAAAATCCCACAAGTGTAGTTTTTATCCGGACTGTATAAGTTATTTAGCCGAAATACGGTCAAATTAAGTTATAGTTGCGCCGGCAATATGGGCAACATCCTAAAAAGAATGAACAGCAAAAATTTAAAGCTCAAAAATGACATGAAAGGTGAAATATGGTCTTATGTAATTGCAGGGCATATAACCGTCCTTTTATGCCGTATGGAACAGTTTGTATATTGTGCCGAAGTGGAAGGTGAAAATAGTAGCACAAAAATACATCTCGGTTGCACTGAGGGCCAGTTCAAAAAGCGATCATACCTCATCTTTTAGAATCTCGGAACGTAACTACTATGGGAGCTTTAGGGAGAGGTATAACATATGCCCAATCATTGAATGCAGCATCTTACGAAATCTTAACACTAACATAATAATCGGGAATACGTGTAAGCTATGCCAAGAAGAGAAACTAGCTATAGCAACGTATAAAGAGAACACTGAATTATTGAACAGGAGGCCAGAGATCATGGCCAGGTGTAGACACGTTAAGAAGCTCAATTTGGGCTTATTTGAGCTCGGATAAAGTGGGAATTTTTTTTTGCTACATCTCCCCAACCAATACTTCCCGGTTTCGAACGAAAGTACTTAAGTTGTTAAACTCCATTTCATTGATTTGCTGAACAACCACCTGAGGAGACCGTCAGTGGTCAAAACCGCTATAGTGTTCTGGTCAACATTCATATTTTTTAAAAACATTTTTCTAAAACATTAAACAGCTCTGCAAGTCTGGTCTTCCAACTTGATACTGAGCACTTTTAATCTATCTCTGTTTGTAATATATATATATATATATATATATAAATTAATTGATTTAAAATATGGTTATTTTCTACACAGTTCAACCATGTTTCAAAATAGAAGCTAAAAACCCCTTTTTATTTTTTGCAAATAAATTAAAAGCATTAGTTCTATTTCATCTTCAAGCGAATTTTGGAGTAACTTTTAAAATTTACCGGGTTTTAA